TCTGAGAATACCGTGGCCCACTGCTATACCCCAGGGAATGTGACTCCTGAACCTAATATCAGGAAAACGTGGGTGTTTGGGGGCCGGGAGGAGAGGGACAGGCATGCACACTGGAAAATTCTAGCTAAATGGAAACTTCTGGCTTGCATTTCAGAGTACTCAAAAGAATCTTAGAAGCATAGGTGGGTTGTGTGCATCAGGCTCCCATGAAAATTTACAAAGCAGCCTACCTGCACAACATGGGGACAGACACACACAGGTGGAGGGGACACTGAGAAACAAACAGATTTGGGAGAATAACAAAATTCTTTGGGTATAAAATTATCGATCTAAAGTGTTGCTGGGAGAATCCAGATTCCCATTTCTCCTGGGGCCTTGGAGCACCCAGTGCCCTCCCGTGAGCTCTTGCTCTCGTCCTTTAGACAGTGTGTGAGCTGAACTCCTTGTTTGCTTGATGTTAGTGTCTGGGGCTGGTCTTTCACAGAATGATACTGGGTGAAGTTTTGTATTCAATACCTGAAACTCCTATGAAAGGTTTTGAGAAGCAACTCTTGGGAAGAACACCTTTGGATTCTCGGTACTTTTGAATCACATTGTCCTCTACAGTCCTTGGTATCTTTATTCTGTTTCTTTAGAGAGCATCAGGGAGTTTCAGGACATCATCCTTTTTCCATTTGCTGGAAGAGTCTGGCAAGGCAATGGCAAAGATGTGCGCCTCTCTCTCTCTCTCTGAAGATCGAACAACCTGAGCAAGCACTGCTTGAGGGCCCCCAACTACAGCGAGTGCATGCCGGCACCCCTAGAGCCCCTTTGTCCTTAATATTCCTTTTGGATGGGGCTGGAGAGATGGCTCAGTGGTCTAAAGCACCTACTTAGAACAAGCTTAGCAAAGCATCAGGGACCGCGGTTCAATCCCCCAGCACCACATGCCAGCCAGCCCCGCCCCCTGGTGGGCTGAGCTGGCCACACACACACACACACCACACACACTCACTCACTCTCTCTCTCTCAAATAAATAAAACAATTAAAAAAATTAAAAAAAAATATTCCTTTTGGTTGACTTCTGGCTTCCCTCTGTGTCTACCATGCATAGATTTCCACGTTCATTTTTCCTTCATCCCTTTTTATAATGAAGATCTTTGTCCTGGTTTTTTTCAGGAAGGTTTCTAAAGCCCATGCTCAAGTCAGCCACTGACTTGCCATCTCAGAAAAGTGCTGAGACTCATGGGTCGCATCTGTTCCAGGAAACAGAGCAGACTGGGAATGCTGAGGGTCGGCGCGCTTTCCCTGGCTCTGGTCTGCATCATCTCAGTCCTGCGCTTTGCCTTTCCAGTCTGTACAGTGGAAATGATCTTAGGTGCAAAGGTACAGCTGGGCCAGAAGGAAGCCAGACCATCCCTCTGCTTTCCTCAACTCTTAGTCAGCTTGACTGTCACTTTCACCTCTGAAAAACCCAGCAGATGTGGGACAATGAGATGGCTGTCCAAACAAAAGCTGTGAAAACTGATTGTTCTGTGCAATTACTTTCAGATATCTGTTGGGCAAACTGATCGCTACACTAGCAATTCACTCGGGGTCGGGGGGGGATGGGTGAGCAGCATGATGTATGTTTTTCTTCTTCGCCTTTAGAAAAGCTAAGATGAAATCTTAATCTAAATCTCAGCTCTGCCATGTGCCGGCTCTGGACTTGGCCCAGAGCTTCTTAAACAAGGCTTGATAAAGCAGAGGTGTCCTGGGCTGGAGAGTTAGCTCAACAGACTAAGCACCTGCTTAGGCAAGTGCAGGGACCTGGGTTCCATCCCCAGCACCACATGAAGCACCGTCCCTACCCCTGGGCACACTGAGCCTGCCACTGAGTCCAGGTATGGTGGCGCATGCCTGTAATCCCAACTCTGGGGAGGTTGAAAACAGGAAAATCATTGAGTTGGAGTTGCACAGTGAGACCAGGTACCAAATACATTTAAAAAATACATTTAAAAAAAATTTAAAAAGAAGGGGTGTCCTGTGTCTCAAAACCCTGATCCTCTCAGTCCCGAAGTCATATGGGGCCTGAGACAGTGGCCCTAGGTGCATCAGCCTCGTTCCCAGGCCCAGCACACCTGAGCGACACCATCATGCTCAGCTAGCCCGATAAGGGAACTCAGGGAACATGGACTCAGGCTCTCCTCAGCTCCCTGTCCAAGGGACTGGAAAGGGAGCCTACTCAGGGGAGCAAGGCCAGGGCAAGGCTCAGCCCACTTCCAGATTCATTGGCGAGCACAGCTACGGTAAGAAGGGCCACTGGCTTCAGACATTGTATTAGCACTGCTGACAGCAGCTTGACCTTAGACTACCACACTAGGAACAGCACACGTTTTGTCCTTTCTCCCATGAGGTGACCAATGCGTTTAGCAGAGACTCATAAGCCAGGCTGGCTGTCGATCCAAGACAGTGCTTCCTCTGAGACCAAGCCTCCAGGGGCAGGGGACGTTGGCTGTTCTGCTCTCACGGTGCAGAAGCCTCACTTCCTGCCTAAGCATGTGCTGTTCAGTGGTGCAGAAAGGAGGACGAGGCTCCCTCCCTCTGTAGCCCGCACTACTGGAACTCCTGGGGCACGTGCACCAACCACGTAGACTTTGGGATACTGAACCATCTCAGGGTCCTTTCATCCTGCCGGTTTCCCTCCCCGCAGCCAACCCCCTGCTGTACCTTGAGCCTGCTTCCTCTTAGTGGTCTCCCTCCTGCTTCCACGGCAATGATCTAAACCCCACTTCACCCTCCTTGCACTTGGAAGACGACACAACCTTTCCATGCTGTGCCTGGAATCTCAGCACAGCTTTCCCCTGCCTTCGGAACACGGTCAAGTTCTGCGGCACCACAGACAGGGCCCTTCATCGCTGCTTTCTATGGCCACTCTCACCTCCTGCACCTTCTCCCCTCATTCCCTTTGCCACCCTCAGTCACAAGGCTTGCTACTTCCTGTACTTTCCGTGCTCTCCTGCATGCCTATATATTTTTGTCAGGACATTTCCTGGTCCTGGAATTTTCTTCCTCCTGCCCTCAACAGGTGCCCCTCTGTCTTTTCAGGGATTTTAGGATTGTGCTACCATGAATACTTCTGTACCACGGACAGCCACGTGCGCTTAGTGGTCACGCCAGGGTACATCCTGCACAGCCGTCTCCTGCCACAAGCATCCCTCCTGGGCGATACCCTCCAGACTGTCCATGCCAGGGCGCCGCTGCAAAGCACAGCTGACAATTACAAACAATTGCCAGGTCATTCGGTAGTTCCCAGGCCCAGCAAACTTCCCAGAACATTGCTGGTTTTTTTTTTTTATTATAACCTCCTGAACGGCAAATAAAGATAAAAACTGCATGCATAATATTAGTATTAACGAGAAGGTTAAGAATGAAGATCAACAGCAACCAATAGCATCTTGAGTTGTACAGCAAAGGGGGGTTAAATGTGAGCTCAACATGGAATTGGACAGCTCAGACATGTAAGCATATGAGCACTTATAGAGCAAGCTCCATGAGATGGAATTAAGAAGCCTTCAATCTATGGAAGCCACAGGGCAAGGAAGAGGCCAAGCATGTGAGTCACAGCTGAATCCGGGTAAAAAATCACCAAGCTGTGAAAAGGTCTAGGGTAGATTTGTAACCAAGCACCGACAAATGCCTCACTAAGAAAAGGAAAGAGACACGCATGGGAGATTTTGAGTCTTGCCTCTCTGGAGCAGAATGTGTTTGGCCATTATAACTATCTTATATTAAAATGTTTAAAATCAGCAACCAGAAGCCACCAACAGCACAAATTCTGCACAGGCGATCCGATACTGTATTTCTTTGTAAACTTAGTCTTGCACCTACACTAACTTCATGCACTTCCTTATACAGAAGAAAATTCAAAGAAAAGACAAAAGGACAAGAAAAGTTTTGCTGATGGACCATACCTACCCAGATACCCCTATCCCATCATGCTTTTGGAAGCAGGAGTGAACTTAGAGCATGTACATTTACACACATCCGTCCAGAGGGCGATAACACAAGCCAAGCCTGAGGCAGAAGGGATGCATGGGTAGTGGGCAGCGCCCCCAACACAAAGTCAAAGGGCAAACCCTTGTCATCACAGCCTCCTTACCACAAGGACTATGCTTTGCCTGTTTTCTATGCCAGCTGAAATGTGGGAAATCCTACTTTCCCTGAAGGTTGACCACTGCAGATCAACTGCTTGTGAGCAACTGTCCCAGGGTCTGTGAGCTAGAGCTGTGGAGAAGGAGCTGCATGCTTGTCTGAGCACAGGGACAGCGGGCATGACTGTGGCAGAGAATTCATCACAGCAATATTTCAGGAGCTCAATAATGTTGAGAAATCCAAGTGAACTCCCTCAAAGGGGTGCAAAATTCCAGGCAGGAAAGGAAGTGAAGACACCCAGAAGTGAGCACAATGCCTCTCGAACTTGCCTGTTCCAGATAAGCGCTTCCCATGACAGACTTCACCACCATTTTTACCCTCTATGTTACCCCAGGGAAAGTTTGAGGAGGGCTCCACTGTGGACTAATGTCTTGCAGAAACAGGAAGAACAGGGGCCGGGGAGATAGCTCAGTAGAATAAGTGCTTGCCTGGCAAGTGCAGGGGCTTGAGTTCAATCCCCGGTTAAAACAAACAAATAAACAAACAAGAAACAGGAAGAATGCTAGCCCCCATAGGTGCTCTACACCCATCTCTCCAGCCAGGAGGGTCTTTGAAGCTAAGAGCAGCATAACCAGAGATTTCAACCTCCTCTCAGCTGCAAAGCTGAGAAATGGCCCCAGGAAGTCAGGATAAAGATCCCAGCTGGTACTCCACATATAACCAGGAGCTCAAAAGCACCCTGTGTGTGAATTAAAACCACTCTTTTGTCTGCTAGGAGTGGATGGACAAGTCTGTCTCGATTTGAAATTGGGGAAGAGGGCTAAGTTTTCACAAGAATTAAATACTTTTTTCCTGCAAAGAGACCATGAGACATTTCTCCCCTTACCTCGTAGATGGCCAGAGCAAACAAGGAGACAAAACTCCATTGTCTTGGTGCCCCAGGAAGCAGGCAGGTCCTTGATGTGTTTGAGTCCTTGCACCCTGATCCGGAGTTTGGGCAACCCTGGTAAGGGTACTTGGGACCTTGTTGGGTTTTATGTCTATGGGTCAGCTCAGACCGGCTGTCGACTCATCTATATGCAACAGCTCTCAAAGAACATAGTTTACTTTATAACCGGATCCAACAAGAGTAGGCGTGGTGGCTAAATGGGCTAGATACACCAAAGGTGTTGAGCTGCCAAGGCTAATTAAGAAAAGTTGTTTATGGAGAGCCATGGCTTGGAACCGGAAGGCCAGTGCGTTTGTGTGATATTGAGCGTGTGTACCAGGAGGCCAGGGGCTCCAAGGTGAGGAGTTGGGGTCCTCTAGGAGCCCCTTCAAAGCCTCAACTGGTCAGTGACTCACTCAGTAGCTCTAGAAGATCAACCTGATCTGACCTGCCTCTGGCCCTTCGTTTGTTGCTCTGGTGATAAGACAGTGCAGAGCTCTCTGACACAGCCTGTGCCATAGGCAGACCACAGCGAAAACTTTGCTCCATCAGCTGTGTTGGCCAAGCCAAGTTAGCTTCTGGCCTGCCCGCAGGAGCTCGTGGTGGGAAGAAGCCTGGTAATGCACTTGCCACGAGTAAACGCTATTGAAGTTTTCAGGATACTCAGAAGTCACAGGCATCTGCCTGAGGTTCCTGTTGAGAGGACTTCTCACCTCTGATCCCCTCTGAGATGCTCTCTCCCATGTCCCTCCAAGTCATTCCATCTTCCTTGAACCACCACACTTCATACCTGATCCCTCACAGAAGTGTCAAGGAACAGTCTTTGCGGTAAGCCACCCTCGCACGCAAGTAAACATGGATAGGCCAAACACAGTGAAACGAAATGCCAGCCTTCACTCAGGAAGGACAAACAGGAGAGACACACAAGCAGGCTAAAACACAAGCCAGGGACTCTGATGCCACAGGATCCAAGAGGGAAATGTGGACACTGATGCAAAATTATATGCGAGGAGGAAATGCTAATTTCAGACACTTATAAGTAGAGCCAAGTATTTATCGTGGAGAAGTAAAGAAAATACGCTTGGCTGCTGCAGTCTCCTTGTGATGGTTTAAGAGGTGAGGCTTTTAGAAGGTGGTGAAGTCTTAAGAACAGAGCCTGCACAGCTGACGTCAGACGTGAAAGGGCTGGAAGAGGAGGCTCCTTGGCTTCTGGGAGGACTTGGCTTCATCTCCCTTTTATGATGTTGCCTTCTTCCATGTAAAGACAGGGCGTCACAGGTCCATCCTTGACAGGGGATCACAGGTCCATCCTTGACAGGGGATCACAGGTCCATCCTTGA